CGGTCTTCTTATCTAGTAACAGACAAAGAGGCAAAAGAAATTACTCTGTCAGCTTTATTTGACATAGATCAAATGACAAAACTTCACACCGATCTTTCAGATGCTACCAGAAAGGAAGCTGTCTTTTAGTGTGTTTTAACTCGTGCTGTTTTATTTAGTCCCATGCAACATGCAAGGGGCAGTAAAAAATTTGTCGCGCTCTATTTTTACACTTTTCTAACCCAATGTGACCCTCATGTAAAGCACTAACATTTTCTGACGTAAACTGGTTGGTACTATAAGTTTATCATTAAAGAGTAATAAGCCATCTGAAAAAGTGAGGTTTTCTTTAATTTTGTGATAATGACGTGTACAATCAGGTAAACTGTTTCTATTTTCTGGCCAGCCTTCGTGCAAAAGTGAGTAACAAGCTTTAAGTTTGAATCTTCTTCAATTTCCTTTTTAAATTATTGTAACTTTCGTTCATCAGCCAACCAGGAATATTCTTAATGACAGAATGTACTGCAAAATTAAATCTCTATCTGAATTCAACCCTTTCTCAAAAAGATAGGCACGCGATAATGTATCTGCAATATAAAGGTATTTTTCTGGCTTATAGTGAACTTCTAAGTCATAATTAAGTAATTTTAGACTTAGGAAATACTGGCTAAATCTTTTTTAAAGATGGTTTCAAGAGGCTTATGATCTGAATTTACTTCAATTTTGAAACAATATATGAAGAAATGAAATTTCTGGATGGCAAAAACAATGGCGAGCATTTCTTTTTTACTTTGTGCGTACTTTTGTTCAGTTGAAGTGAGACTTCCTGAAGCGAATGCCACAGGGTGTCCCTCCTGCAAAAGGCAGGCACCAAGACTGTCCTTCGATGCCTCAGTTTCTATTTCAATTTCTTTCTGTGAATCAAAGAATTTTAGTACGGGTGCGGATGTTAAAAGTTGTTTAAGTTGTAAAAGAGATTGTTCATGAAAGTCCTGCCAGTTCCAAATACAATCCAGTCTTGTTAACTGCCTTAGTGGAGCAGTAATCTTTGACAAATTTGGTATAAATTTACCCAAATATTTTGCCATATCAAGGACCATTAATAAATCATTTCTGTTTTTTGGCTCTGGCAAATCAAGAATGCCTTTAACATAACTTCTATTTGGCTCTACCCCCGCCTTTGAGGAAATTTGTACCATAAATTTTACACTTTTCAATTTAAACTGGATTTTCGAAGAATTAAATTTAATATTATACTTGAGAGCCCGTTCAAGTACTAAATGTAAATTATGATCATGTTCGAACTGATTTCCACCTGTAACTATAAGATCATCAAAATAGAGCCCTACGCCGCCCAAGACCCAAATATCTCATAAATTTTCCTTTGAAAGACTTCCGGGGCAGAACAAATGCCAAAAGGTAAACGCAAAAATTCAAATCGCCCAAATGGTGTGCCAAAAGCTGTGTACTTTGAACTTTGATTGTCAATTCTAATCTGGAAATACCCGTCTTTCATATCAAGCAACGAAAAATATTCTTTATTACATAATTTGACAGCAATTTCTTCAGAAGTCGGAATTAAAAAATATTCACGCCGAATTGCCTTATTCAAATACTTGGGGTCTAGGCACAACTTCAAGTCTTCATTACTTTTTTCCACTATGACTAAAGGATTCAGCCACTCAGTTGGTTCGTCAAGTTTTTTAATTACACCTTGAACTTCAAATTGTTCGTTTCAATTTCAATCTATTATGCAATGTTCTAGGAACTCTTATGGGAGGCTGAATATGTTGAGCGGCATCTTTTTTCAAAGAAATATGATGCTCAGTTGGAAACTGGCTTAAACCATCAAAAACACTAGCATACATTTTCTCAACATCTTCGAGAGACTTAAAATTGACATTGAGTCCTGGATTAATACTAGCTTATCTTTTAATTAGTTTTAGCTTTAAACAAGCAGATAACCCAAGCAAGGGTAGTTGGTCAGAGGAGCCCAGCCAATTACTAAAAATTCAAGAGTTGCTTTACAGTTGTTGACTTCCCAAGACAAGACAAACTAACTTCACCCCGAGGTTTTATCCTGAAACCACTACAACCATATCGTCCCCCTTATCACGTAGAGGCGTATGTTGTTGTACAACATACGTTGTTTTTGAAAGAGAACTATCTTTTAACTCTCTGGGAACATGTAGACGCAAAACACTTACCTAAATATTACCTGATTTTTGTTCTCGATTTGCACAACTTGTCTCCATCTCAGTTTGATTGTCTCTGCTATCGCACTTACTGATCACCTTAACAATTTTTCGAGACTTCATAGAACTAACTCGATACAGTGAGTCTACGTAGAAAGACTCACTTTCACTAGAGCTGTCACTACTTCCTCCTTCTGTTGTGTGCTCTTTCTCCAGCTCGTGTACAAGCTGCGTCCATAACTGTCTCTCGCTAGATTTTTTGTGTGGCTTACTAGAACCTTCACCAGGACACATTACTGCAAAATGATTTTTTCCTTGGCAAGCTGCACATGTTTTCCCATATGCCGGGTATTTACAATTTAGTAAGTGTTTATAGCCGCAAAATTTGCACAAACTTTGGCCATGACTTGAGCTACCACTTGAACTATTAGCGGTACTACTTTTCTTACTGTTTTGGAAGCTATACTTCCTAGTTTTGATTGCATGAATCTGTGATTCATTCTGCAAAACCTTGGTCTGTGTTTTGCTAACCTCAGTGGCTCTGCAAAAATCAATTGATTTAGTTAAAGTTAGCTTGGACTCTCTCAGAAGCCTTTCTTGGGTATTTTTATCATAAATACCCATGACCACACGGTCCCTAATCATTTCATCTGGCTGAGAGTATCCTGTAGTTTTCACTCCTTTTCTTAAATCTGTTAAGAAACTATCAAAAGTTTGACCATCTTTTTGGCTAATACTGTTGAATTTGAACCGCTCAAAAATCACATTTTCTTGAGGCGAGCAGTATTCCTGAAATTTTCTCTTTATACTGTCTAGAGATTTTAGTTCCTGCTAAGTAAATGTAAAACTATTAAACAACTCGAGCCCATCATCTCCTACAAGATTTAGGAAAACGGCCACTTTAGTTTCCTCCGGTTTTTTATTCAGTCCAGACACTGTCAAGAACACATCAAATTTTTGATCAAATCTTTTCCAGTTATCGGCTATATTGCCATCAGTAATAAGGGGCTCCGGGGGCCGAAATAAACTCTCCATTTTTCTAGGCTAGGTAACTCTTTACAAAAATCGTAACAACAGTTCACTAGCGAACTTTTCACTGACTTGTAACAACAAGCTAGCACCAAAAGCACTTAATAACCTGACACCATGTTTTATATCGTCAAGGGATATAAATAAAATAACTATTAGTGTGTTTTAACTCGTGCTGTTTTATTAAGTCATGGTACAGTGGATCTACCAAACGGCAATTAGACTTCTGATCACCTACGGCCTCAGTCCGAAATCTGAGCAGGCTATACTGCTCAGAACAAATTAACTGGCGTTCAACGACTGGATCTATCTACGAATAACAGGGGCTATGCCAACCTGCACCACAGCTTTGCATAGAAAAAAGGCAGGAATAGATGCCTTCAGGCTATTCTAGATAGGAAAACTTAAGCCCGGAGATCCGAATAGACACTTACGCACCTTGGAGGCGACAAAGGCATCCCAAACTAAATCAATAGATCAAATTGAGGCAACAGTGGACTTGGACAATTTGCTTGAAATGTTAGTAAAGGAGCGCTAGGAGAACATAAAACTGTTACAAGCGGACAACGCGTCACTGTGGTGTGGTACACAGATTATTCAATGCTTACCGAGGGTGTTGGCTTGGGAATGAATGGACCAAAATTCAAACTCCTCTTAGCAACAGGAAAAATGTCCACATCAGTTCAAGCCGAACTGTGCCCTAAAAGAGGACTCACTAGAAAGCACATTTATATCCTCAGATAGCGAAGAGGCTCTATAAGCCTTTGCAAGTTTTTCTCTAAGTTTGCGTCAGGGTCAGTCTGAACTCTGTTTTCTGTCCATATATTGATATAAATCAGTTTCAACATTTTTATAGTTATAACTTGGATCCAACAATAAAAGCATTTATTATTATTAATTTAGTGCTCAACCTCATCCACAAGTTTATAAATTACGGCTTAAAAGTAGATCTAGATAGAAAAAAAAGGAATATCTAAGTTTTACTTAATTTTTTGTTTTCATAAAGGCAATTATTTGGTATTAAACCAGTATAATGGAACCACACTTGTTAAAGCGTCACAGTAAAAGCACACTTTCCGCATGAACGAGTAGGTACTCTTTTAATAATCCTTATCACACGCACACGCCAACTACAGTTTGGACATTCACCGTCCTTGCAACGGTATCAAAAGGCTCGTAAATATAGCAACAACACCTCAATGTAAGCAACAAATGATGCATGGATTTAATTGATAGTTTCCGCGTAAAATAAAACAGCCTCTTAAGATTTAAATTGTTTGTTATAATATGTATTCTTCCACAATGTGCAACGTTTTAGGAAAACGATTGAGCATATGTCTGAAATTTCCAGTCCAACATTGTTTCATTGTTGCTAAGTGTCACTTAGTGTTAACTAAAGAAAGCGCTATATTTTATACAATGAAAAAATATTCTAATGAATGACAGAACAAAAGAAAGGACTTATGATTATACAATTTATTACAATTATCATAAATTTGCCTTTCTATTTTGTTTTAATTCTTATGACATATGATATATAATTATAATTTTATTCTCTTTTATCCATAGTGAAGTTCAAGCATTTAGATTGTATATTTGTTTAATCATTACAATCATTAAAACGTTACATTTTCAGCTCACTCAGCTCCATCAATTAATCAATCAATCAATCAATCAAATCGATATCATAATATTTAGATGCATAAATAACATACATATCGTTCATTTAGATCAGCATGGTCATAATATAGCAGGTTATTCGCACTTTTGATTGATATGACCGATATTTTTTTCCAGGTTCTAGATCGCTAAATCTCCTTTAGATGGTTGATGCTTTAGGTATATAGGAACCAAAAGGTGAGAGATATTTTATTTAAAATTAAGGATTATTTTCCAGATAAAAGTAGAAAATGAAATTGCTTCAAGGTAAGAATCAGGGAGTTATATTTCTGACTTTTGTAGAGCCTATTATAAATATTACCAATATTTTTTTCATAATATTCGTTAACGAACATAATTATGATAAAATACTTTATAAATTAAATTTATTGCGGCATGACTCGACAATATTTAATTAAATTCATGTATGCCAATTGTCTATAGTTGAGCTCAAAACGGGCTTTGTTTTATAGAACGCAGTGCAACACCCAGTCAGTCTAGACGTGAAATATAAAATCGTTATTTCAATTCATGTTTTAAAATAAATAATTAAGTTCAAGGATACTATTTTTTATTAAATTTTCTTGCAAATTATTTGATTTTGTAAGAGGTTCGCGGATATGCAAAAACTTGATTAAGTTAAAAAAAAAAATTTGCATGAAAATTACAACTAATTATATGAATGCAGATTTAGAGTTTATTAATTAAATCACCATAATTGAAAAAATATTATAGGAAAGAAAATAGGTAGTCATGTTTTATTTCAATTTAAATTGCTATGTCAGAAAAAAATTAATAGTTAGTGCGTTATTCTAATACAAAATGTTTTATGTATTAAAGCAACGCACTAATAATTAGATATCTAAGTGTAATAAGGAAGAGACTGAAGTGCTTTATTCAATTCAGAGAAATGCTGAACGACAATCGGAAAAATGGAAAAAAATTCTCCAGCACACAAACTGCATTAACTGGTATTAGAATGTTTAATGAATTTTTGGTGATCGTCGATTCAAATTCCAATTACTAAGTACCTACCGACCAATTTCCAAAGGGATTTCGCTTCCGTATTATACTCCTTCGTCAGTTGCTGGAAAATTATTTACACTTTTAATTGCAAGGCGATTTGATAAATAACTCAATTATAAAATTTGAATCTTTACATAATTGTATAAACTTATTTTTTGAAAAACAGAACAGGTGCTACTGCTTTTTGTAAATACTGTTGTATCTAATTTAATCCTGAGGAAAATATTACTAAATATTGAGTGCATAACTACATTGTATAAATGGGTATAGGTAAATTCGGTCCCGGGTAAATTGTTTTATGAGGGGTTCAATAAATAATAACATCTTGTTAGGTATTGAATAATTTATGATTGTACAGGGTGTTTCCTTATATTTCGACCCCTACCTACAGCTTTAGCTATACGAGGTGGAAAAAAACTTTAAATACGAAAGTTGTAGGGTTTTATGTCTATTATCTTTTGCGGATATCAAAATGGGCACATGACAGGTGTCAACTGTCACAATGACAAACACTTGCATTTTTCAAAAAGAACACCCTGTATATTTTTGGCTAGAATGATAGATTTTTTTCTTCTGATTCCAAATATATCATATATGTAGATATTTGGTTCAGCTGTTTTTACGCTATTCAAGTTTAAAAATGCATTTTCATTAACCTTAATTTAATCTGTCCACGTTTCCCATATCAATGATGAGGCTTGCTCAATGCAATTTTGAAATTGAATAGCGCAAAAACAACTGAACCAAATATCAACATATACAGTATATTTAGAATCAGAAGGAAAAAGTTATCATTCTAGCCAAAAATATACAGGGTGTTCCATTTGAAAAATGCAAGTGTTTTTCATTGTGACAGTTGGCACCTGTAATTTGCCCATTTTGACATTGGCAAAAGATAATAGACATAAAACCCTACAACTTTCCTATTTAAAGTTTTTTTCCACCTCGTATAGCTAAAGCTGTAGGTAGGGGTCAAAATATAAGGAAAAACCCTGTACATTAAAAATACTACATATTATATTATTGTATATTACATATAGTATCAGCCTACAACATATTCTTGCATACTAAATATACTATAAGATCTTCACATTCTTTAAAAAAATCATTCTTAATTAAACCGCACAGTGAAATGAGACAGATTTAATGAAATGCAAACGACTTATTTCGTTTCCAGCATATGAATCGATCATTTCTGTAATAAATATTCTACGATTTCCAACTTTGCTGGAAATAATTTTGGCATTCAAATGTACATTTTGTATTTTTACATAGGTTTCAATCTAAAACTCTTCAAGTTTATTAACAAAAACAAAAATGTTCGGATGAGATTTGTAAAACGAATTATTAAAGTTTCTATGAAAAGATTCACAAGTATTGGTAGTTCTTGTAAGTTCTGCTGAGTTTTGAGGAGGTGAAATTTGCACCCATTACCTACTCCTAATTACTTTTTTCTACGAAATCGATTAAGTAGGCAAGTATTGTAAAACCCTTAACAATTAACATGGTTGATTGGACCCAAGTTACTAATCGATAAAAGGGTATAATTTTTTAAATTTATTTTGCTACCTGCTGGGACCGAATTTACCATCACCCGTATAAATTGTATGAAATCTTTTCTAAAATCGTTTATACCTGTACCTCATTAAATGATCATATTAGGATCTTCAATCTGAAACGCATGACAATCTGATTACGCCAAAAACTATGACGAAGAGAACTAATATCTGATACCTACACGGTAATGTAAATAAAAATTGGAGTTACATATTTTGAATGTCATAATGACTTATATTGACGCACTTATACTTTTTGAATTTATTACTGCACTAGTGAGGTAGGTAATCATATTTTTCAATTTCTTAGACAATATTATTATGACTGTGCAATTAGAAAAAAGCTCCACAGCCACTGCTGGTAGACAAGCTCGTTTATTGTAGGTGAATAAATTTCGTCAACTTTTTGAAATTTTTGTCCGTAGCCTAAATATTATAGGCAATACATGGACATTATTTCCGCACTTGTAATGGTTCTACATGAGTGCGATAATGATGTCTGTATTACACTTGTTGAGTTCATCACAACCTACCTATAACTTTCTTTCTTTTTTTCCCTGTTATCATTCATCTTGGTATGACATACCAAATACCTAGTCGTCTCCCAACTCTCGACAGTGAACTCTATTTTGCGCCCCCTAGTACAGGGTAATCCTGTGGTTTCTTTCAGTCGATTCGTCTCATCTGTGGTCTGCCTATTGATCTGTGATCTTGCCTTCATTGTAGTTAGTAGTTCTGTGAGCCATCTGTGCTCTTCCTGCATTACAAAGTGTCGCGAAACTCCGTTTTAGATGGGCGACGTCCTCGTTTCAGCCTGCATGGTTCTCCGTCTTATCTAAAGTTTCTTTTTTATGTTCAGATGTTGGATGGGTATTCATGAAAATTTACCAAAACCTGCCCATGTTAGCTTTGATCTTCGTACAATTTCCGCTGTTTGGTTGCACTTATCAAGTGCCAGTATCTGTTCTCGAAGGAATTTTTCAAGAGAGATATTTTCGATGGTGACTCTCCATTCTTCTGCGCTATTTGTCACCACTTTTGTTGACCCTATTCACCTTCAGGCGTGTGTTTTTTAATGCTCTTGCCCACTGAGTAGACATATACTGTAGTTCTTCAAAACTATTGGAAATGAGTACCATGTCGGCCAACCGTAGATAATTTTGTCTAGTCTAGTTCATTCTAGTTTCTTGAATATGTCCTCCGTGGCCAGCTGAAAACGTTTTGGTGATGTCATATCACCCTGTCTGATTTCTCTCGTGATTTCTGATTTCTTTCCAGCTGTAACTTAAATGTAAATATCGTTGCTCTTCCTATGGCACATAACTCAATGCTATTACTCATTCAGATATACTTCAGTCACCTGCACTGACATCACTTGTTGCAGAAACTGTACTGTTTTAGTTCCGAGATATACTAATAATGGATGATTGTTGAACGATTGGATAATATATCTTTTCCGCCGGTTTCTCTGGTTTCCTGATGATACCACGTTTTTGGCTTGGATCATCTTGGATGATAATTTGACAGTTTGTGAAGGTGTCGCGTATTGAGTATAATTTATAATTCAATATCCGATTCCAGTAACCAGAATGACTAGAGAAGCTATGTTGTTTACATCGTGAATTTGCTAATATGATGTCATAACGGTACTAGATGGAGGGTTTGTAGTTGGGTGGAGGTGGTCATGGCCTTCTGCTCAAACTTCTCTAATATGGAGAAGTTTTTTATTGCTGGGCTCAGTAGACTGCTCATTGCTACTCGCCAGGTTTGTTAATAGAAATTCCAGGAAAATTAGCTTCCTGATAATTGAGAGCAAAAGAGATCCACTATGTCTCTATTAAATATTTCAGATGGCAGGCTCAAAGATTCACTTAGAGGTACCTTTCGTAAAAGAGAAACAACTTACTAGTTTATCCTGAGGAATAAGCAGGAAGTAATTCAAGGACTTTGCTGAGTTAAAAGTGAGTTAAAAGTTGGAGAATCCGAAGCACTGACAATGGCTCGGAATAGTGTATAGTGTATAAAATAACGCGTGCGCTCGACTTTCAATGAGGGTTGCCACCATTTCCGGCCATCAAAATCGAGGCCACCCTATATATTATCTAAGAAGACATATTAAAGAATATATCTACCAATTCTCAGCTATTGCAACGATAACATTGTTCTTTCGGAAAAAGAGGGGTAGTTTACGCCCAGCCATCAAAGGGTTGCGGCCATGAAAATCGAGGCCACCTATCCATTTAGTTTAAAGGTAACTATGAGCTATTCTTTTATGTAAAAATTATCCATTGCAATGATCACATACCCGTTAATATTGCGGCTTTCCTACTACAAGGGTTCCTTGCTAGTTTCCGATAGTTGGTCGGGTCCAGGAGTTACTCAAAATCTTCTCGCCTCGGACATCAATAAGAGAGATGCATTACCATGAGGGGAATCTGATTTCCTGATGCTTTTTTTTTGTTATGCTGGTGGGGAGTGGTTTAGCCATTCCTATAATCAAAGATGCTAGTGTTTCTATGCGGATTTCACCAGCAGCAATATCGGGAGTGGTTGTACTGGTATAGTGGTACCTACTTCACGCGGTTCGATAGCAAAGTGTCTACATTTTGTTAGCACGGAAATTTCTTCCGGAAACAGCGTGCGATCTGTCAAACTTACCTACGACGGTACGGGAAGATTCTAAAAGTCTTATTTTGTTGGCACTTCTCGAATTTACTTTTTTGTTGGTCGGTTCTCCGCTACTGTTCGTTCTGCATCCTAGCATGTAAAATCGCAGCGATTTTGTTCCAGTCAATATTATTATATTAATAGTATTATTCTCGGACGCCTTCTGCAAAGGGTTTGCTGGCTTTTTGGCATCCAATCTGTATCTGCAAAAAATAACTCTATTTTAGGTCATTTTGTTTTAAGGAAAGCATCATTTTAGTCAAAATTTGAATTTTTCTGTACATATTAGAGAACTAAACAAGGATATTATCACAAAATAACCGCTATTTTGGTAATGTGAGTGAGATTAACTGTATTAAATGCATGAAAAACTTGAAAGAAAAAAAAAACACCAGGAATTAAGAAAATAACGACGTGGTCCGTCGTGGACTACTCTCGACTTTATGAGGGCCTATCATTTGCCGAAGTCTCCCGTCATTTGCCGAAGCCCCGTTCTTTCTCTTTCAGTTGACTGTAAAGAATCTTTCGTGGAGGATGTATTTCGGACATGCAGATGAGGTGACGTGTCTAGCGAAGTTGGTGCATGATGATGGGGCCTTCCATACTAGTTGTTTTGGCCTCCTCTTAAACACTAATGTTCGTTTGTCGGTCTTGCCATTTCATCCGTAGGATCCTTCTTAGGCATCGCTGATGGTATTTTCTAGGCTTTTCATATATCTTCTGTCCCATAACAACTGCATTGTAGATTCGAAGCTTGATCTCAGCGCTGATGTCCTGATTGTTGATGACTCTCTCTAGAAGTCGCCCGAAAGCCGCGGTAGCACACTTTAAGTGATGTTGAATTTTAGCGTCAATGGTTCTATACACCGACAGATGGCTCTGAAGTTATGGGTACAGGTAGTGTTCTACATTCTGCAAAGAATACTCATTTAATTTATAGTTATACTTGGGGCTTGGGGATTAGAATCCGGTGCGGGTTAAACTTAAAGTTAAAGTTGACCTCTAGGCCGATTCTCCTCTATGCCTGGTTGAATCCGTTGATAATTGCCTGAAGATCTTCCTCTATATTGGCCATCATGAGGTTATCATCCGCATATTGAAGTTCCATTATCATGTCGTCAATACTTTCTTTTTTGGCTCGTAATCTGTTAAAGTTGAATAAGTCGCCAGTCTGTAGTACAGGATTTCTACTTCTGACAATAGGTGGCCCTCGACAAGGTGAATTATGGATCCAATATATAGAGAAAATAAAGTAGGTGCAATAACAAAGCCCTGTTTAAGTCTTTAGTTATTTCAATAGACTCTCCTTGTCCAAAGTTGCTTGAGTTCCAATTTGAAAAATAAGACGGCAAAATGTACAGATTCAACAGCCCTTTAAAATAATCTATCACTCGACCCCCTGTCTCATTTGAAAATTTTGGGGAAGTAGCCCTAAGGCTTATAGGGGCTTGAAGGGACGAAGTCCATTTTTACGTAAAAAACTTACCCTCTCAATAAAATTGTTGACGAGTTTTGGCGATTTCCGCAAATATGCCTCTTTACGCAGATAACGTGGGTGGCAAGTTTTGAAATGAAAGCCCTGTTATATAGGAGCTTCTCTGTTGACCGAATTAAATGCTTTCAATAAATTTATGAAGGCCATGTAGGTATAGAGGGCGATTTTGTTCTCTGGATTTATCTTGCACTGAAAATCATGTCAACTGTACCTCGGTTGGGTCTGAAGTCATACTGTGTCTTCCGCAGTTGGGATTGGAAACGATTTGATAATATCCTGGCAAGGTATCTTTCCCTCAACAGCAAGTGAAGATATTGCTCTCTTGTTATTTCTTTGCACTACCCTATTCTATTTAGTATTTTTTTTTAACATCCATTCAATCTCAGGGGAGAGCCAACAACAACAACAACCACAATAGACCAAACAAGGAAATCGGTCAATTCGATTAATACTTAATCCTGCCATGTGAAATCAAAAACATAGTTTGCTGATAGTGATAACGCCTTAGGCTATATTGCCAATCTTGACTCTTACCGGAAGTAATTTGATTATTTAAATGGGGTAATCAATTAAGCTCGAACCTGATATTTAACCTTAAACAATGAGGAAACTGCAGAGTGCGGTAATTAGAGAGTTCAATGCAAATATTCAAATTTGGTTCGGTAGTTTTAGCCGAAAACGAATGCTGCAATTACAGATTCTAATATGTATAAAGACTACAAGTAATGAAACTAGAAGATTACCGTGGATCTTATTTATGTATAAGCTTGAAACTAAATTATACAGTGCCACATCCTCACAAAAATGAAAAAGTTGGGCCGAAAATACTTGAAATACAAGAAAAGTTCTGTAAGTTTAAAGTAAATATCATTTATCTTGCTTAAAAAAATACATACTATTATAATTTAATTGCGGAAACATGACAATACATGTGAAATTGAATAATTCAATAAAAAAAGTTTAGAACGTTCTCCACATTAAATAAATATAGCCTTTCCATTTAATTTTTCAAGTACAAGACCTTGCTATTGAACTATCAAATAACGTAAGGTTGGTCGGTAACAAGATTCATCAATTACCAGAGAGACTCGTGACGGCTATTATCTTTACGGATTCCGGATTCCTTATAAAAACGTGGAATATAATTTATTATCTTGACTATCAAGGATAATTACGTTTTTCTTTAAGTTGTTTTTAAACCTGCGTGTATAATTGATTTTTTTTATATATTTTTTTTTTGCAGGAGGACCAGGATCTAGATTCAGGTACTTCGCATTCTTCTAGCCATCATAACCAAAACCCATATTGTATCCATCTCAACCAGAATCTCATCATAACCTTTAAGTTGCGTATTTGTACAGGGTGTTAAACACTGCCGTTGTAAATACTAAGTTTATGATTCGCCAATTTTTGTTTGTCGGTGTGCCTATTAAAGCTATTATTATTTTTTTAAATGTAGATCCCGTCTTAGACTAAGTATTTAATTTACCTAGTTTAAATGAAATGACTATGCTTATGCAAATGTCGACATGTGCAATATTATGAATCTTATTTATTTTAAATAAATTAATTTTTTTTTAGTATATTAAATTGATGTTTTATTTTTGCAGCGATTTGCTTAATTATTCAGTAACTAATTAGACTATTTTTTCAATCCTAAAATGCCTATACGTTCAAAAGAAGATATTTCATGTCACATAAATACCCATAATTATGCAATCCATCTATGCAGTTTTCCATCTTAATTACTAAATTAGGTACGTAATTAGCGCCTGACAACACTATTTTCATTCTTCGCTTTTATGCAGGCAAAACATACCTACAGCTATTTGTATATGGGTGCAAGTATAAATAAAATAATTTCGAAATGATGTTATTTCAAATGATATAAAATAAATCTACTCCAAACATGCAATGAGGTTTGCAAATTTCAAATAAATAAATCTTTCAACTCTAATGTAATATTTTGAGAAAGCTTGACGAAGAATAATGGTGATTATTGTTCTTTGAGAATCTGTACGATGGGCAATGCAGAGCACTGTTTTTTTTTCTTTGCGTCGCCACGGAGTCTAGAATTGCTGCTCCAGAATGTGAGAGCGAGATCTTTATCCCTGGTAAAACACATCGCAAGGGACAACGGAAAGGGGAAATAACAAGCCCAAGACAGGGCTAAAGAAATACAACCTAAAATTACTAGAAGAACAAAGCGTAAAGGGGTTGGTTATACGTAAAAAAATTGGACCAAAAATTACAGACTAGTCTGAACTTCCGAAACCTTGAAATGCATTATCAGCATAACAACCCACATAACAGTGAAAGAACATTCATATTCTCAGAATATTCCCTCAAAGTGCTTTTTGGAATGTTCTTTTAGGAATGTCTAATGAATATTCTAAGATTGTTTCGATTGAAATATTCATTTTTGGACGTTCTATTTATGTACTAGGAATGTTGCTTCTATGCACCTACTTGAAAGATTGTGCTACGAACCTACTTTATATAAAAATCTTTGAATATTGTCATACGAACATTATTATAATGTACCCTAAAAAATGTTCTTTCGGCTAATATCTCTATCAAGTATTAAGAATATTCCTACCAAGTTGTGCTGAGAAGTTTATGTAGGTAGGTAACCATGATAGGAATATTTTCATATTGTTCACCTAATTATCTAAAATACCGACTCAAAAATCTTAATTTAATAATTAAACAATAATGCTCTATCTAGAACCTACTAAGAATATTATAGGTATATTCTTTTTCTTTTGCTTTGTAGGACTTCCAAGAGAGGGAGCCACGCGCTATTAAAGATTTACATCTTGCCTCGCGTTTGAATCACCTTGGAACCTGTTTCTCTCAGTTGGCGTGCTTCGACGAGAGCATAACAAGCTCGAAACCGGAGATTTGGTTAAATACTTGTGTTTTCCAGAGAAGTTTTCCAACAACTCTTTCACTGCCTTTAATATAAAAGGGTTGAAAGGAGCATTATTTGGAAGCGAAAATTAACATTCCAAGTATATCCTTAGAATCAACCAAGAATGTTATGTCTAGGATGCATATTGAGAATGATATGTGTAGATATATTCTAAGAATATTTCAAGCATATTGGTATAATATTCTTTCGAGAACATAACTATAATGTCATAGAAACATTCTTTGAATGTGAGAATATACATTTCGAGCATATTTTTAGAATCAAACAGGAATATTCTTTTCAGGATGTACTGAGAATCTCATAGGTATATTCTAGGAATATCCTAATGGATTTCCCAGGAAGTTCTTGGGTATTGCAAACAGTATTTCTACAATCTTTTCTCAGAACATTCTCAGAACATTCGCAATGGTTTTGGCGAACATTCTAGGCACATTCCTCCTAGAAAAAGAACATTCTTTATACATTCTAAGGATGCAATTTTGTTATGTGGGAAAGAAAGTATTCACACTTCATCAATTGAAACTTCAGACAAATACGAAAAAATTCACAAAAACCTTATTGGTGGGATAAATAAATCGAGAAAGACATAGCAGACAAAAGGAAGAAATACAAACAGTACCTAAGTTCATATGAAACAGAAGACAAAGATATATATAAACAAGCATAAAACGGAATATTGTTCCCTCCCAGAAATAGAGATGGCCGGATGTGAGCACAATATTCAAAAGAGCGCGACACAGTCTGAGACACAGATTCACGCCTCCCGGATAGAAGAATCTCCACTTGGTCGGCTCGAAACCCCAGCATTCTCGTATGCAGAGGCTGAGAAGAATCCCCCAGCGTTTGCCATCAGAGGTAACGACTGGAAAACTATTTCAAGCAGACTTGAGTCATAGAATAATGATTACAACCTTGTCAGTATCATGAGGAAGAACGGTAAGTTCCTTCCCAAATCCGCGACGGACTGCATGACTCTAATCAAGAACATTGATGGGGGAAAGACGGCTTTCTTTATTAATCAGGTTGAAGAGCACAATACGTTTATGCGGTGGTATTGCAACCATTGACATGCTGGTAGGAGAAATCCTTGGAGATAGATTACGCTCACACGGAAGTCACCCAGATGACCAAAACTAGCGTAGGAATAGCACTCACATACTTTTATTGCTCCTCAAGATACAATACACTCGAGCATCTAGAAAACAAAAGGATCCATGAAATTGGACTTTTGAATAGAGAATAATATCTGAATTAAGCATCCGCAGAAATGCCACAGTCGCTAGGCACTCGGTTACATTCCCTGAGTTAGGGCGCAATGCAATTTGCGCCAACTCAGAAAGTCAGCATACGCTGCTTGCAGTGCTTGCTTAGGTACGAGGGAGTTCACGATACCCAAAGGGTAGGGTTGCTAACTGGCAACAATACCAGGAGAGCGAAAAAGGAATCTGCAGCCACACTGGAGGCCACTATCGCTCCTGAAAGTGCTAGATGACATACATGCTCACATGAATCTTGGTAGCCCATAAGTCGTTGTCAGTAACTCCAAGGCACCGATGGAAGGATGAACCAAATAGATTATTATCTGGAACATCAGAGACTTGAGGCTAAAAAGCATCACCAAACCAGGATGAAACGTATCAAGACGGCTAAATAGTGCCGGAGGGGTAGCAATTCTGATTGAAAAACACCTATAACATGTCTTTATAGGCCTAGTGGAGACTCAACTATAGAGATTGAAGAAATCAGAGACGGACTATTAGGATCACTTCAGCTCACTTACTAACGCAGGATCATCTACTGGAAGAAAATAAACATAATTTAGTAAGAGAGAGTAGTCTCACCATTATAATTGATGAGCTACCAACGAAAAATTCTTAGCTTGGAGCTCAAATGGCCTTAGTAGAATACTCAAATGTCCCAAGTACAATACCTTCAAATTGAAATTGAAGCAGGAGGTATTTTGGATCACAACCTCAGCAAAAATTCACCACCAAAGACGCAGCCATAAGTGAAGGCTTCGAGATAAAATAGAGAATATTCCAGTGATCCAAAACTTTGACCAGTTGGAACTTCCCGTTGAAGTCTCGGAGTCTTGCCTTCCGTGTGTCTTGGAACGAACGTTCTAAATGGCTTATTGAAGTTCTAAAGTGTTCTGACGTGGTTTGAAGAGTTTTGGAGCATTCTAGAAGTTTTTCAGTAATTTCTAGATTGTTCTGACAGATTTTTAAGTATTTTAGAGCCCTATTGAAACTATAAAGAGTTCTAAATTGGTTCAAAAAAGTTCTAAAAGGTTTCCAGTTCTAAATAAGAGTTCAATTTAGAACTTTGAAATTGTTCTAAAATAACTGGAGCTTCTCAATTATTCCAAAATACTCCTGAAAATTCTGATTTGGATTTGAACTGTTTTAAATACTTATTAGAGGTCGAAAGTTCTACAGGAATCTAAATTTGCTCCTAAAAGCCTTCTGAAAGGCGTTTTGTAACTTTTAACCCGAATCTTAAAATTCTGGCGTTTTTCAGAATGTTCCTGGAGATTCTAGAGTGTTTGAGTGTTTTGGAGCGTCCTAAAATGGGTTCCAAACTTCTGAGTTGTTCTAAAATGCTTTTGGAAATTGTAAATCGGTGTTTGAATGTTTTGGGGCATTCTAAAATGGATCTGAAATTTCCAACATTTTCTGAAGCTTTTGGATGTTCGCTGAATTGAATTTTAAGTGTTTTGAACTTTCCAAAAGGCCTATTAAAGTTATAAAGTGTTCTGTGATTTAAATGGTTTCCAGTAACTTCTAAATTAAATCAGAAACGAATTGTATGGAAAATTTTTCTAGACATCCTAAAGACGTCCCTACGATGTCCACAAACGACATTCATAACGTCTTGCTTACGTCTTTAAGGCGTCTCAAAGACATCTTGAAGACATCTTAATGTTACAAAACCCAACGTCTTTCAAAGATCTTTCTAAAGACGTCTTTAGGACTAAGACATTCTAAAGACTTCTTCAACGGGATGTCTTGAAGATGTTTTTGAATCTCTTTTCAAAACAAAAATTATCATTGAGTTTTGGGCTTGGTTGTACCAAATACACACCACACAAAAATTATCGCATCACCAAAGCTTTTAAAATATTTTGGCTACAGTAAATTTATTTCAAAAATTTCTTAAGTATTCCCTGAATGAGCATTCTTCAACTGAAAAACTCGAGTCAAGAAACATGTCGTTTCTTCTTCTATTAGATTCTTGTTTACTTTTTTCGGGAAAATGCGGATAGGCATACATTCCACTTTGCAATTATGATGTTCATTTCTGTGTTTTCTGCTTTGATAGATGCAATAATTTTTGTGCGGTGTATAGTTGTCTAAGATATGAATTTACGACATCTCATGGACATCTTCAAAACAACGTCTTCAAGGTGTCTTTTTTTGATCTTCAGACGTTTAGACATAATCCATACCTTAAAAAATACGTTTTTAAGACTTTGTGTGCTATGTGGGTAGCTGACCATCTCGTATCCATTATCCATTACTCTTTTAACGGATGTTCATCAGAAACATGACATAAAGTCGGGTGGACTCTATTTGAGTTGGAAATCCCACAGCTACAGAACAGTGTTGCCGATAGTGTGCGTAATGCGGGTGGTGTGGTGCATCTCAGGGCGCGAGGTTGCC